CCTACAGGGCTGTAAATCACAGCCCAGTGGGAGAGAGAGTGGCTTTGGGGGCAGGGAGGGGATGAGGGCACATGGAAAGCTGGTGCCAAGAATGTAAGGAGCAATGACAGGACACAAAACTCCTTTTTTTGGATCCTGTTACAAAATGAGAGCTGCTTTTCTGCCCTGATGGACCCCAAGGATGTAAACTGCCAGATGCTGCTGCTGAGGTGAAGGAGAACATCTGGAAGGAGCCAGCTGGAGGGGTCGCCCCTGGGTCAGCAGCTGCAAGTCACAGCCCAGCCTGCCCCACAGGGACTGGGGCAGCTCTTCTTGCCCAGAACTGTCCTGGGACAGCAGAGGCTGCTCCTCAGTGCTGCCAGCAGCTCTGGATTTGAGATGCTGCTGGCAGTTTGTTCCTTGGGGCAAATTGTTGGAATTTGAGGTATTGATGATCCTGAGACTGTAGAATGTTTCTGTATTTCAGCCCCAAAGAAAAAGTCATAATTGGTCTGTGCTGGTTTCAAGGTTGTTTATTCTGTTTATCTCTAACATGTTCTGCTGCCCTGCCGCAGCTCTGTCCTGCAGGGCAGCGTGTGGGGCTCTGCCCTCAGTGGGATGGTACAAACATTAAATACCACAAACTACCTGTGCTGGATTTACAATAACGTGCCAATATCTGTCACCTACGTTGGACAGTGTGTCCCCAGCCTGAACCAACAGAAAAATGCCAACACCACAGTGAAACATGGAGGGCATGAAGAAGGAGAAAAAGGACAAGGCACACCCAATTTCCTCCATCTTGTCCCCTTTGGACCCCTAATCTAGAATCCTAAAATTTTACTTTTGCACCCATGCCACACTTAATTATTACTTATATCAAACACTCAGAGCTTGTAATTGATCCTGTAAGATTGAAAACTCTTTTCCATGGACAGAGATCACAGACAGTGTCTCTGGGGGCTCTGTCCAGGGGGGTTCCTGACCCCTGCCAGGGTCCCAGACCTGCCAGGGCAGCCAGAGGGAAGCCCTGGATTCCCACACAAATCAGCATCTTAGGGCACAATAAACAGCTCATTTCTGTCCCATGTCCTCCCCTGCCTGGTCAGCTCAGCTGGGTGTGATTCCCTTCCAAGCTCCACCACTGGCTTTGGGAAGCAGGTGTGAAGCTGCTGAGTGTCTCCCCTCACCTGTGGCATTTCCCAGTACAAGATTTAGAGTGATTCGCTCTCTCCAGTCACAGGGAAAAGCTGAGTGATGGGACAATCCCCACAATGCACCTGAAACCTGAACCAGTGCCTGGCTGGTCCCATTTCTTCTGTCTTCACCCTCCAAGAAATCCATGCTGAGTTCATGGCTCCCATTTTCCTCCTCCTGCATCCTGACCCCACCTCACTGAGGGCTCCTGGCTTCCTTCTACTCAGGGCACAGCAAAATCCCACAGGTTTTAATTCATGTACACGATCCTAGAGCCTGCACCCAGAGCATCCCTGTCCTTGGGAGCTTTTTCCTGAAGGTCTGAAGAAAAGATTTTGCCACTCCAAATCACGCCCTTGACATCTTGGAAATCACCTGTGATAGCAGGAAGAGCAGGAGCAGTTCTGGGCACAGCTCAGCATCCCCTGCTGAGGCTCTGGCCAGGTTCAGTGCTCAGGATTTGTGTGCAGCCTCTTGGTAGAAATGAAGTTGGCCTCTCTGGAGTCACATGCAGCCCATCCCCACCCAGAGAACTGGACTCAGGACAGGCCTGGAGGTGACAGGTTTTAGGTGAGAAGTTGGGATTTCAAGGCAGAAGTCAGAGGTGCGGTTCTGTTGGTGCAGCAGGTTGAGAGAACTCTTGTCAGGGGAGGGCTGTCCGTGGGTTCTGATCCCTGTGCTCCATTAACTGGGGGATTTGGAAAGCAGCTGTTCCTGTGATTTGCTCAAAATTTCCTTTACAGGCTGTCCTTGCATAAAAATGTGCCAAACTCCTCCACAGTTCCTTCTGCTGCAAGCTCTGAGTCTTGTTTGGCCTCTTTGGGGTGAGATTAAAGGGATTTTCCTCCTCCAGGGATGCCCTCCCATGGCACAGTCTCAAATGCTGCACCATACCCCTCACCCACTGTCTGCCTCTCTTCCAATCTGTCCCTGCTGGAAAGTTTCAAACCACAAAATCCTTTTTTATCCTTCATTCTGCTCCAAGGTCCCCGTGGGGGCTGCGGGCTCAGGTGGCCCCAGCTCCCCCCGGGTCCCCTGTGCAGGGACAAAAAGCCCCAGGTGCCACAGTGTTGGAATCTGTGGTATTGATGATTCTGAGATTGTAGAAAGTCTCTGTCTGTCAGCCCCGCTGCCAAATAAGAAGCCATAATTTGTCTGTGCTGGTTTCAGGGTTGTTTATTCTGTTTATCTCTAACATGTTCTGCTGCCCTGCCGCAGCTCTGTCCTGCAGGGCAGCGTGTGGGGCTCTGCCCTCAGTGGGATGGTACAAACATTAAATACCACAAACTACCTGTGCTGGATTTACAATAACGTGCCAATATCTGTCACCTACGTTGGACAGTGTGTCCCCAGCCTAAACCAACAGAAAAATGCCAACACCACAGTGAAACATGGAGGGCATGAAGAAGGAGAAAAAGGACAAGGCACACCCAATTTCCTCCATCTTGTCCCCTTTGGACCTCTAATCTAGAATCCTAAAATTTTACTTTTGCACCCATGGCACACTTAATTATTACTTACATCAAACACTCAGAGCTTGTAATTGATCCTGTAAGATTGAAAACTCTTTTCCATGGACAGAGATCACAGACAGTGTCTCTGGGGGCTCTGTCCAGGGGGGTTCCTGACCCCTGCCAGGGTCCCAGACCTGCCAGGGCAGCCAGAGGGAAGCCCTGGATTCCCACACAGGGCTGTGTCCAGTGGCCGTGGCCGTGGCTGTGGCCCAAGGGGATGCTGAGAATGGCTCTTTGTTCCCTGGCTCTAATTGCTGGGCCCGGGCAGCTCGTTAAGGGCTCTGCCCTGTGCCCTCCCTTCCCTGCAGCCCTGGGACGTGCCAGGGCTCAGCTCTGAGGGCAGGTTTTGGGGTGACACATAAAACCAGCTTGGGGTGAAGCTGCTTTAGCTCTTTGCACGGCCTGGGGGGGCTCGGGGGTGCCCAGAAAGGGGAGAGGGTTGTACATGGCCAGAGCAGAGCCTCCCCTGCAAATGCTGTCACCCAGGAACGGCAGAAATGTGATTTTTGGGAGGCGGGGACAGCACCACATCCGTGAGCAGGGGCTCTGGGAACACTGGAGGACACAGAGCCCGCTCCGAGCCCAAAGCCCTGCGGAGGGCTCCGAGCCCAGCCCTTGGGAAAGGCTTTGGGCTCCTCCATGGGGGGAGCTGGAATTTGCATTTGAAAACAGCGGAGGAGCTGCTGCCGCTGCTGGGAGCGCTGGCCGGGTGCTCTCAAAGGGAAACTGTTCTGCCCAGAGCTCCCGGGGCCAAAAAATGGGAACTCCGCAGATCGCTGGCTCCGAGCGGGCAGCATCCCTGGCTCCGCGGCTTTTTTGGGAAAGATGAGGATGGTGGGGGATGTTCGGGATGTGAAACGGGGGATTCTGCTCTCTGGGAATGCTCTTGGTGCCCTCTGGTCAGCACAGCCACCAGTTTGCTTTGGGAGCTGAGCTGAGCCCGGATGCACTCGTGGCACTCAAGACCCCTTGTGTGAGCCTGTGGGACCACTGCCTGTCCCAATCCCAGTCCCAGGGTCTGTGTCCCCGTCCCAGTCCCAGGGTCTGTGTCCCTGTCCCAGTCCCAGGGTCTGTGTCCCAGTCCCAGTCCCAGGGTCTGTGTCCCCATCCCAGTCCCAGTCCCAGGGTCTGTGTCCCAGTCCCAGTCCCAGGGTCTGTGTCCCAGTCCCAGTCCCAGGGTCTGTGTCCCCGTCCCAGTCCCAGGGTCTGTGTCCCCGTCCCAGTCCCAAGGTCTGTGTCCCTGTCCATGTCCCAGTCCCAGGGTCTGTGTCCCCGTCCCAGTCCCAGTCCCAGGGTCTGTGTCCCCATCCCAGGAGACACCACATTGGATAATAAATGCTCCCTTTTTGCCTCTTTTCCCAGCCTGTTTCCCACCATTCACCCTTCACATCAGCAGAGTACCCTGTCCCCAGCACCCCACAGCCCGTAGTGCCCATCCTTCATCCTTCCCTGCAGCTCCCATGGGTGCCCTCAGTGGGGATGAGGCCTTTGATATCCCTACATCTCCTTAAACCCTGTAGAAAATGAACCATCCCCAGTTCAGGGGGGACAGTGGAGCAGGGGACACCCAGGGATGCTGTGGGGACACCCAAAGATGCTGTGGGGGTGCACACAGGAGCTATGGAGGCACCCAGAAATCCTGTGAGGACACCCAAAGATGCTGTGGGGGTGCACACAGGAGCTATGGGGGCACCCAGAAATCCTGTGGGGACACCCAAAGATGCTGTGGAGGCTCACACAGGAGTTATGGGGCTACCCAGAGATGCTGTGGAGGCTCACACAGGAGTTATGGGGGCACCCAGAGATGCTGTGGAGGCTCACACAGGAGTTATGGGGGCACCCAGGGATGCTGGGGGGCCACGCAGGGAGCTGGGATGAGCTGGCCACAGCAGCTTGTCTCAGTGTAGTTTGTGCACAAATAAAAGCCTGGAGAGCCTGCAGTGAGCTGGAAATAATGGCATTACAAGCGCTCCCTCGCTTCTCTTTGGGCTGGATGAGGCTTCTCGGGGCCAGCTGAAGGGCTGCAGCACAGGGCAGTTTGCTCCTGGCTTGAGCACAGCTCTGGGAAGTGAGTGGGAAAGGACACGGTGACACAGAGGCAGGGACATCCACACCTCCAGCCTGGCATCTGGGTGCTCCTCAGCACCCCAAGGTTTGCACCCCCAGAGCGCATCCATCCCCTGCTTGGAAAAGTCCTGCTGCACCTGCCCCGTCCCGGTGTGGGCTGGAGGAACTTCTTGGAGGAAGCTGAGGGAGTGTGAGGGAACAGGAAATGGTGAGAGTTGTGTATTTTGATTTTTCCTTTCCCAGGAGAGGCGTGAGGGCTCGCCATGCCGCTGGTGAAGAGGAACATCGAGCCCCGGCACCTGTGCCGGGGGGCCCTTCCCGATGGGGTGACGAGTGAGCTGGAGTGTGTCACCAACAGCACGCTGGCTGCCATCATCAAGCAGCTGGGCAGCCTCAGTAAGTCATGGCACAGCCACCCCGGTGTGGGGATGGCACCGGGATGGCACTGGGATGGCACTGGGATGGCACTGGGGTGGCACTGGGATGGCACCAGGATAGCAATGGGATAGCACTGGGATGGCACCAGGATAGCACTGGGATGGCACTGGGATGGCACCAGGATAGCACTGGGATGGCACTGGGATGGCACCGGGGTGGCACTGGGATGGCACTGGGATGGCACCAGGATAGCAGTGGGATAGCACTGGGATGGTACCGCGATGGCAATGAAATGGCACTGGGATGGTACCAGGATGGCACTGGGATGGCACTGGGATGGTACCAGGATGGCACTGGGATGGCACTGGGATGGCACCAGGATGGCACTGAAATGGCACCGGGATGGCACCAGGATAGCAATGGGATAGCACTGGGATGGCACCGGGATGGCAATGAAATGGCAGTGGGATGGTACCGGGATGGCACTGGGATGGTACTGGGATGGCACCAGGATAGCACTGGGATGGTACCAGGATGGCACTGGAATGGCACTGGGATGGCACTGGGATGGCACTGGGATGGCATCGGGATGGTACCAGGATGGCACGGGGATGGCATTGGGATGGCACTGGAATGGCACTGGATGCCAATGGAATACTCCAGTCACTCCCACCAGTTTCAAACCCAGAGAAACAGGGGTTGTGTGAGAGCCATGTGGGCTGCAGCCACTCCTAATTCAATGGGAATTATCCAGATTGTTGAAAATAGGAGGTTGCGCCTGCTTTTAATTTTTAAATTTTATTATATATATTTATTCATATAATTTTACAGAATTAATTGTTTCTAAAATAAATTATTATTGTTATTATTATTTTAATTTATTTTATATTATTCTATATTTATTATATTTATATTATTAGCTATATAGATATATAGCTATAGATATAGATATATAGTTATATAGATACATAGATAAACTTTAATCTTTGGGGTTTTTTTTTTGCCAAGCTCAAAATGGGGACTTGGTGACATTTTGAGACCCATTTTCCTCCCACAGCTGATTTGTGCAGTGGGGGATGGAAAGCTTTTCAGGAGCCCCTTGCTTCTCCACTTGGCCAGAAATAGGAAGGTCAGGTGAAGATTTAAAATACCCCAAGCTATTCTTTTTAAAGTTAGAGCTTTTTGAGGAAGAGAGGTCTCTATCAAAGGTCTAAACCCTCAGCTGTCTTCCTGCCCTGGGACTGATCTCAGCAGAAAAGGGGCAGATGAGAGCACTGCACACACCACTGTGAAGGTTTAACAGGGGCAACTTATTTCATGCAGAATATCCACTTAAAATAGAGAGAAGCTATTCATCCCCCCGCTCTTTCACACACCTCCAGAAGTAGATTCTGCTCTAAAATACTCCCAGAAAAATAAACCCAGGACGTAGGGAGCTGCTGGAAGTGCAGTGGCTCACACGAGCAGCACCCATGTCTGCTCAGCTTCCTATCCAGGAGAAAAGGGAGTCAAATGGGATGGGATGGGATGGGATGGGATGGGATGGGATGGGATGGGATGGGATGGGATGGGATGGGATGGGATGGGATGGGATGGGATGGGATGGGATGGGATGGGATGGGATGGGATGGGATGGGATGGGATGGAACAGGTGCTGTAGCCTACAGGTATCAGCAATGCTCTGCCAGATACTCACTCAGCACCATGATAGGAATAACCCTAATAAAAAGCTAAATAATCCTAAATAAATAACTCTAAATAAATAATCTGTTGTAGGGATGCACTGAGAGATGCAGGAAAAGAACTGATAAAGTGAAACAAATTACAGATCCTCCCTGCTGTGGCACTGTCCCCACTGCCCTGCTCTTGGCTTTCTACCTGGGCTGAATTTCCCCAGGTCACATTGTGTGATGGTCATTTTTTTGGTAGATCTGTCCTGATGGATCCAAGGGCTCTTTGGGGCACTGTGAATGTTCTGTGTCCCTGTGGGTGCTGCTCTCACTGGAAAGGGGTGCTCGTTTGGGCTCTCCTGCCTCCTTGCAGCACTTTGGGAGAGGATGAGGCTCAGCTCCTGTTACATTGTGCTCAGGCCATGTTGTCCCCATATCCCAGGACCCCCGTGACTCTGATCAGATAAACCTGGACCCCTCCTTCCTGCCCTGACAGAGTTGGTGCAGAGCCAGAGAAGCCCTCCCTGTCCAAAGCCTAGATAAACCCCTGACCCTTCCTGTTCGCCCTTTTGCCCCTCTCTTTCCCCTGGACATGATAGAATAAAGAGCTGGAAAACCACATCAGGGTAAGAGTCTCTTTTGGAAATCTTTGCCCATCCCCTGATGTTCCTCCTCTCAAGGCCTCGAATCTCTGGACTAGCCTGATAATTTAGGGGTTGAGAGACGGGGAAACGTCAAGCTCCCAGAAATCCAGGCAGGGGGAAAGCACCCCAGGGAGACAGTGGGGAGGTGGGTGGTGCAGGGGATGGGCTGAGCTGGGCGAGCCACCTGCTGTGGTGATGGGCGCGTTGTCCCCTGCCAGGCAGGCACGCAGAGGACATCTTTGGAGAGCTGTTCAACGAAGCCAACAGCTTCTACATGAGGATGAACTCACTGCAGGAGAGGGTGGACCTGCTGGTCATCAAGGTGACGCAGCTGGACTCCACCGTGGAGGAAGGTGAGGGGCTGGGGCTGGTTTGGGCTGATGTCCAGGTGTGCTCTCGGGACCAGACCCCCGCCATGCCGTGCTCGGCGGGCTGAGGCCACCCCTGCATCCCTTGTCCTGCCTGTGCCCCCCAGTTTCGCTGCAGGACATCAACATGAGGAAAGCCTTCAAGAGCTCCACGGTGCAGAACCAGCAGGTCGTGTCCCGCAACTCCATCCCCAACCCGGTGATGGAGATGTACCAGCGCTGCGACAAACCCCCGCCCCTCAACATCCTCACGCCCTACAGGTACGGGGCACAGCTCTCCCAGGGGCTCTGAGGGGGTCCTTTCCATGAGAAGGATCAGGTGTGCCCCCCATTTGTGTGCTGTGCTGCCTCCCCCATCGCGTGGGATGCTTGGAACGTGTGTCCACAGCCTGCAGGTGCTGACTGCTGTGTTGGATGTGTCCGTGGTGGGGCAACAGCTCACGGTCACGATCATACCAAAGCCCGTGGGAAGGGGAACAGGGGATCTTCTCCTGTGGCTGGTGACCCTCTCTCTCCTTCCCAACCCCCAGGGATGACAAGAAGGACGGCCTCAAATTCTACACCGACCCCTCCTACTTCTTCAACTTATGGAAGGAGAAGATGCTGCAGGCTACAGAAGACAAGAGGAAGGAGAAGCGCAGGCAGAAGGTGGCTGAGGGCAGGAGGGGGACAAGGGGGCTGGACCTGGGGACAGTCACCTCCTGGTGCGCTGGGTGCATCTCACAGGGCTGGGTGATGCTCCCCAGGGACTGCTCCTGGTCCGGAGGAGCCGGGCTGGAGGTGGAGCCACGGCTTTGTGTTCCCGCAGGAGCAGCGGCTGGTGGAGGACTCCACCCGGGAGGTGAAGAAAGTGAGGAAAGCCCGCAACCGGCGCCTGGAGTGGAACATGATGGCGTATGATAAAGAGTTCCGGCCGGATAACAGGTTCTCACCATCCCCCTATCACATGGCATCATCGGAAGGATCACTGTCCCCAGATAATAGGCAGGTTCTACCTCCTACACCTTCAGCTCACCGCTCTCCTTTGCTTTGCTCTTCCTCTCCGTCGTTGCGGGGGACGTGTTGCCCACAGCAGGGTCGGGGTGCTCAGCCTGTGGTAGCTTCATGAGTAGCTGGTGTCCCCAGGGTGTCATCCTGGAGCTCAGGAGGAGCCTTGGCCCTGGGATAAAACCGGAGCACTTTCCGTTTCGCAGCTAAGAGAAGAGAGTGGTTCAGCTCTGTTGTGTCCTCCTCCCCTCTGCTCTCACTCTGCTGTCTCGTACATCGATATTTTCATGGCTTTTTCTTGTTTTGTCATCTCAACCCCAAAATACCCCCAAACCCACACCCCCTGAGCTCCCTCAGGAGTACAACAGTCGGCTTTTCCTGTGCTGCACGCAGGTCCTACGCGTCGGACGCTGCCGACCACTCGTACCCGGCCAGCCCCAACCACCCCGCGCAGCTGCTGGCCCCGGCGGCCCACCTGGCCCCGGCGGAGCACAAGGAGGGGCTGGCGGCCACCAACCCCCCGGAGCTCGTGTTCCGGCCGGCCCCGGGCAGCCGCCAGAACAGCCTGACCCGCCTGCAGCAGCCCCACGCGCCGCCGCCCCCCGAGGCCGTCCTCAACGGGCCCAGACCCCACCTAGTCAAGGATTACGGGTAAAGCTTCAGCCTGATTGCTGCTGGAGGGGTGTCCAAAGGAAGGGAGGCTTGGTGGGGGTCTGGCCTCCCATTTCTGGGCTGACGGAGCAGCAGAGCTCTCCTCTGCAGCTTCCATGGTTCAAAACTGCTGGTGAGACTCAAGGCCAAATCAGTCAGGAGCGCTTTTGGGATAACATCATCCCAGATAATGGGGCAGAGTGGATGGAGGGCTTCTCCCTGGGGTGTTGCCTGCTTTTCACCACTGCATTACCCATAGCCCATCCTACCAGCACACCTCCACCACCAGTCCAACTCCAGGATAGAGCTTTCATTGGGGTTCAGAGCAAACCAAACCAGCAGGGTGCTGGGATGAGTGATGGATGCTGGGATGGGTGATGGGTGCTGGGATGGGTGATGGGTGCTGGGATGGGTGCTGGGATGGGTGATGGGTGCTGGGATGGGTGATGGGTGCTGGGATGGGTGATGGGATGGGTGATAGGTGCTGGGATGGGTGATGGGTGCCATCCTTCAGTCAGCAGTGCTCTGGCAGCCAGGTGTGCCCTAGAGGGCATCAGGCCCAGCATCACCAGCCAGGCAAGGCAGGAGATTGTCCTGCTCTGATCTGCACTGGGGCAGCCTCACCTTGAATACTGGGGGCAATTTTGGGCACCATAATATATTTAAAAAAATTGAGATGAGAGTGTCCAAAGGCAGCCATGAAGATGGCAAAGGGCTTTGAGGAGAAGCTATGTGAGGAGTGGTTAAGGGAATTTGGCATGTTCAGCTGGAGGAGACTGAGGGGAGACATCATTGCAGTCCACAAATTCATGAGGGGGAGCGAAGGGGCAGATGCCGATGATCTCTTCGGTCCAGTGACAGGACCGAAGGGAATGGCCTGAGGCTGTGTCAGGGGAGGTTTAGGTTGGATATCAGGAAAAGATTGTTCCCTCAGAGGGTCGTGGGGCACTGAGGAGGCTCCGCAGGGAATGGTCACAGCCCCAACCTGGCCGGAGCTCCGGGAGCGTTTAGACAAAGCCCCTAAGGATGCCCAGGGTGGGACTCTCGGGGATGGAGCTGGACTGGGTGACCCCCGTGGGCCCGGGCTGTGTGATTCCGGCGCCGCTGACCGCTGTGCCCCCATTGCAGCCCGCAGCCGGTGCCCATGGCCGAGTACTTCGTGCCGCCGGCGCCGCCGCCGCCGCCGCCCGTCATCCCGTCGGCACAGACCGCCTTCGACAGCCCCATCTCGGCTCCCCCCGCGCTGGGCCCCGGCTCGGCCGCGGCCCCGTCCTACGCCCCGTCCCCGCCTCCCGCGCCCCCCGGGCCCTACTCCGCCTCCCCGCCTCAGCCCGGCCCCCTGGGCCCGCCGGTGGCGCCGCCGCCGCCGCCGCCCGGCCCGCCCGCCGTGTCCGCCTCGCCCGCGCACTCCGCCTCGCCGCCCGCCGCCGCCGCCGAGCCCCGCAAGCCGCCGGTGCCGCTGGTGCCCATGAGCGACGCCCGCAGCGACCTGCTGGCCGCCATCCGCAGGGGTGAGTGCGGGCACCGGGACACAGCCCAGCTGGGTGGCGCTGCGGACACTGAGGGGATGATGAGCTTGGTGGCCCTGTTATGAATCAAAATGTGTCCAGCCAAATTTAAAAGGAAAAAAGGAAATATTTATTTTGCAGTCAAATCTATCTAGCTAGACACAAGGAAAGAACAGAGCCGAGCCCGGGGTCGGCCCTGGGTGTGCAACAAGGAGTCAGCCTCAGCAGAGGTTTTCCTCCATGCCCACACACCTCCGTCCTGGCACAAGCGGTTTTTATAGGGAACATTCCGCCTGAGGCCAAGATTTTGGCAGTCTTTTCTTCCATTCAGAGTCCATAGGTTAATAAGATTTTCTCTTTTTTGGTGCTGAAGAAGAACAATTCAGTGTCCGGAGTTGGTGAATCTCTTGATGAAATTTACGGAACGCTGCATTCCCATGGATCTGCCCGAGGATTTCCATGAGATCCATCTCGGGTCGTTCATGTGATGATCAGCGCCTGGGGTCCCCGTATCTCTCCAGACATGGCCCATCTCCCATCTCCTGGCCAAGCCACATCCTTTTACTTGTAAATCGGGTTTCAACATACACCTTCGAGGGTGGGGGGAGTCCTAATACAAACGTGCATACTCTAACAAATATTCAATATCGCATATATCATACTAGAAACGGCACAAATTATATCTACTACACATAACAGCCCGGTGATGGGCGAGGATGGTGGGACCTTGCTGGAGGGATAAATGCAGTGTAGAGGTGGGGGACTCACTGTTGGAGGTGGAATGAAGCACCTCAGATTGCTGGCAGCTCCCAGGCATGTGGCTTCCTCCCAGGCTACAGTGGATGATGTGCTCCAAGGTCTCTTGCATTTCCCTTTCCTGCAAATCTCCAGGTCAAATGGTAAATTTAACCTTTCAGAAGGTTCAATATCTTCAGGCTGAGTGGAAGCAGAGGAGGAGCTTTATTCTACGATACAGCTTTGTAATAATATATATTCATAAAATGCTAGAAAGGTTTGGGTTGGAAGGAACCTTAAAGCTCACCCCATTCCACCCACTGTGATGGGCAGGGACACCTGCCACTGTCCCAGGCTGCTCCAAGCCCCAGTGTCCAGCCTGGCCTTGGACATTTCCAGGGATCCAGGTTCAGCCAGAGCTACTCTGGGAACTTGTGCCAGGGCCTGCCCACCCTCACAGAGAAGAATTTCTTCCTGACATCCAATCCAGGCCTACTATTTCTCAGTTTACCACCATTCCCCCTTGTCCTGCCAATCCTATCCTCTCATCCCACATAACTGTGTAACCACCAGGGCAGCAGCCCTCTTGTCTCAGCCAGTCCTTTATAACTGGGGGGGACGCTGCACACCGGGTGCACTCCCCCATGAAGCCTTCCCCCCTTTCCTGTAGGAATCCAACTCCGGAAGGTCCAGGAGCAGTGGGAACAAGAGGCCAAAAAAGAGCCGGTGGGCAACGACGTGGCGACCATCCTGTCGCGCCGGATCGCGGTGGAGTACAGCGAGTCCGACGACGACTCCGAGCTGGACGATAACGAGTGGTCGGACTGAGGGCCCCGGGCGGCGCGGGCTCAGAGCTCCCGGCTCCGCTCCAGGTGTGTATGGGCACCTTCCCCATGTCGCTGCTCGGGCAGCAGCTTTGCTTTTACACTATGTCAAAAACCCTTCGGGCAGCAGCAGCAGCAGCAGCAGCAGCAGCAGCACTGGTAGGATACACCTTGGAGGCAGTGAGACCAGAAATTAGCAGCACCTTCACAGTTAATGACTTCCAAAATTCTCTGAAGGCAGGTTAATAGGATTACTCCAGATTTACACCTGGAGCAAGACTAGACTGGCCCTGAGTGTGCTTTGTGAGAGAAGGGAGCCCCAGAGGCAGCAGTGCTTTTCCAGCTAAATGTTAATTGTGATAACTCCTGGAGGAGAAGCCTTGTTTGCACAGCTGGTGCCACCACGAGAGCTCAGGGATGGGCTTGGGGACACTCTGCTCTGGTGGTTTGGGGTCAGGCAGCTCCAAAGGCTGCGTGTGGGCAGGAGCCTCCTTCCCTACAGAGCAACGCACCACGTTTAGTAGCAGTTACACCCTTGTGTTGTTGCTCCCTGGAAAATTATGGAATGCTTTGGGTTGGAAGGCACCTGGGGCACCCTCCAGTAGACCGGGTTGCATGAGCAGCCCAAGGTGTTGGTGACCTGAGCCTGTATCCACCCTCAGAGCTGGTTTTCTAGGGGCAAAGGGGGAAGGCAAGGCTGGTGTGGCTGGCAGGGAGACACAGCCTTGTCTGGGCTTGTCCTGCCTTTTCCAGTGGAGGAGTAGAGGTGTCCAGGGAGCTTCCCTAAGCCCAGCTCTCCTTGGCCTCAGCATGACACCATTTCAGTGTTCTTTGGGAAAAAGTGAATCAGACAATCTGCTGCTTTCAGGGAAACTCTCAACTTGCACTTTGCAGCCCCACAAACTGTGCCTGTACGACTGAGATCAGCTCAGACCCAGGCACTGATTCCCCTACCTGATCCTGCTCCGTCCCCTGTCCCACGTTTGGACACTGATGGAGGAGCTGGGTAACCAGGCCCTGGTTCAGCCCTGAAAATAACACAGAGTGTGACCCATGGAAGACTTGTCACAGAGCTACAAAGGGAGCAGGCACAGAGGAAGGCAGAGCAAAGGGGTGGGAAATACTGGAAATATCACAGGCAGGTGTGAAAACCTGCAGGGAGCTGGGAGAGGTTCCCCACCTGTGGAAAACGGGCCAGGACCAGCTGTGGATTGGCCAGTGTGATGTCCCCAGACCCTCTCTTGTGTTTCCCTCAGGGAAAGCCTGAGCTCTGTGCCCAGTTCCCTGCCTCTCCCAGTAGCCCTGCAGGTGATGGCTACTTCAGCAGTATTTTGACTATGTAGAAGCAGCCAGACCTGAAAAAGAGGTGGGAGGATATGGCTGAGACCCAAATGCTGATGGTTAAATTCACAAAATCCTAGAATGTTTGGGATAAAAGGGACCTTAAAGACATCTCTTTCCAACCCCCTGCCAAGGGCACCTTCCACTAGACCAGGTTGCTGATTTCCTGGGAAATGCTGGTGTTGAGCAATGTCCCAAACATCTGCTCATTTGCCCCCAGTGACAAACCCCTCATGGCCAGATGTGGTGAATCCTCTGCCCAGCTGTTGGGAAATGCCAGCAGGAGCTGTCCCTTCTCTTGAGTGGCACAAAATGGTCTCTTGTCCCTTGGGTGTGACACCTTCTACAGCTCCACACCCAGGCTGGGAGCTGTGCTGCTGAGTGGGCTTGAGCAGGGGTGCAGAACGGATTTGGGATGTGGGAGAGGGCAAGGCAAGAAGCAGCAGGATACAGGGAATAACTCATCTGCACAACCCAAGCAGCAGGAGTGACCAGAGAGGCAGGGAGACACTGTACCCTGCAGGTGGCCAGGAAATTCCTGGTGCACACCAAGAGCTCTTGATACTGGTGTTGACCCTCTGAGATGCAGGGAAGTGGCTGCAGGAGCTTTTTACAGAGTCCCTGCAATGCCCAGGACCTGCTTTCCTTGGGAAGGCAGCTGGGGTTTGGCTGGAGCAGGTTCAGAAAGAAGCAGTGTAAAAATTCATGGCAACATTTAAGGCGGTGTTTCTGGTGGAGCGTTATTAACGTAGATACAATCACAAAACTGTGTGTAAGCAAAGAGAAATTTGGTTTATTTAGGTGATTTAGGAAGAGTAATAACCCTTTGTGAGAGAGAGAAAATAGCAGGGGCTGGTGGAGCTGTTCAGAGGTGGAGGGGCTGCAGAGTAATGTGGGGACCCAGCAGAGCTGAGGAGCCCCACTGGCCCTGGGAAGGGGCTCAGGGACACACAGGACTGGCTCATCCCTTGGCTCTGTCCCTGTCCCAGTTCTGCAAAGCTGAGCCAGCCCTGGTGGGAGCTGGAGAGCAGCCCAGTGCTCCTGAGAGATCAAGTCCCTTCTTTTCATGCACCAGTTGCTCTGTGTGTGTCACATGGGACCGTGGTAACTGGGGCAGGACTCTGGGTGTGTGGCAGGTCAGGGCTGTCCCTGGGGCCTCCCATGGCCCTGTCACCTCACAGCACCTGAGCTGGGGCTGGCAGCTGTCAGGATTGGTGCCGTGGCATGGCAAAGTGCGTGACAATCACAGGAGGGTTGGAAGGGACCCTAAGGGTCATTTAGGTCACTCAGGTCACAGATGCACAGCTGGCAGCCCCAGGGGGGCAGGAAAGGCCCTCACATCTTTATGTTCCTCACATTTCCTCACATCTTTATGTTCTTACACCACGTCCCCATCGGGCATCCCAGCAGCCCCAGCACATCCTCACCCGTCCTGTTCTGCTGAAGGAAATCCCCGGATAACACAAACCCAGGTCACAGCTGCAAAGCCAGCCAGCAGCACCACGACCTGCCAGCACTGCCAGATGGTTGGACACATTGATTTATAAAAAAATATGGATGTTGATCTAGTACCGATATCCAACTGTGACAGACAAAAACTCTCTAGCAGTTTAAAGTGAGAAAGTGTGTGTTTATTGTGTGCGGGATCACTCCCAAATCCACACCGCAGCTTCCAGGTGATTACAGAGTCTTTTTATCCATACAGGTATTGAATACACAAAATACAAATACATATTCATAATTTTGGTACATCCCATTCCCCACTTCGTATGCTAATCACTTCAAAAGCCATTCAGCATGTGTGGTTTGTCCCTTGAAATGGGTTGGTGTCCCTTTCATGGGAGGGGTCCCAAAATGAGGAAGTTAATGAAGTCTTCCTCATTCTGACCTTTTTACCTTTTCAATGCCGATATGACAAATGAACTCTTGGTGGAACTCCCATTCCTTGTCTTCAATTGGTTTCAGAACAGAGGAGGTCACAATTGTCTTATGTTCCTAAAAGCTATTTGTCAGTTTATATTCCTCATTATAAACCCAGCTAACTAAACATTGTGCTGAAAAGCAATCAAGTATTAGTTAACTACTTACTCCTAACTTCATCAAGGCCTACTCATTTATTTTAATTAACTCTAGTAAGGCTTATTTCTAACTAAAATCTTAGCTCCTCTAAAATCTCTAAATTCCTTAAAATTTACGTTTCAACATCACCATCCTCCTCTTCAGGGACCAGAACTGCCATGGAAACCCTTCAGCTGCCATGGTAGCAGGGCTGGGGTCCCCCATCCTCATCCCAGAGAGGTGTCTGGTGGAGAAGTGACCTCAGGGTGGGTTTGGACACCCATTCCTGGTCTGACCAGGCACACCCAGCTCTTCCCAACCCTCCCAGCAGCACCACAGGGCAGGCAAGCACCAGGAGTCATTCAGGTGGGAAAAGACCTCCAGGATCTCCAAGCTGGAGCATGAATGCCCCAGTCCCATGAGAGCCATTCCATCCTCAGTGCCTTCCCTCGAGGGACTCAGCCACGCTTCAGCACCTTTATTTGAGGCAGATTCACCTGGTTTCTGCTCAGGTGACCTTTGCAACCCAACAGAAGTGACACCAATTCCTTGGCTGCTCTGGGCTGGTGCTGCTGGGATTGTGCCACGCTAATTAACACTGTCTGTCTGCCCCACATGCTGCACACTCAGTGTTTTGTATATATGTGCCTATTTCTGCACGTTCTCCCCAAAGTAGGCCATGCCGAGTTACACAACCCGAAATGCTCAAATCCTCATGTGGGCTGATATAAAAGTGAATATTTAAGTATTTTATCTAGCTTGGCAGACATTAAAAAATACAATCCAGGTCACAAATGATTGAATTTCTCCTCTCTCAAGAGTGCCAAAATTGGGCTGAGGAGATTCTCTGTACATTAAGGTATCGTGTTCCCTGCTAAAATATAGCAGTGGCATTTCATTGCCAAAGGATAATCACAGAGTGCCAAACATTTAATGAGTCCAACTGATCTCCTGAGAGCTCTTCTTTCCATTTTATCTGCTTCCCCCTACTTGCCAATTTATGGGCATAGATTAAAAATAATAAATATGGCTGTCAACAGCAGGGGGAAAGATCCTGTGTCCATACAAATGGGTTGGGCTGGAGTCAGTGGAACAGTAAATGAGGAAATTTTGGTTCTGCTTGGAGATATTCATGGAAGGCTGGCATCCTTGAGGTCCATCAGGAACCTCTTGGACATCGCAGGTGCATCTGAAAAGGGACTTTACAGGGAGCACTGTGCCCGTGGTGCACCTGTGAAGCTACACCAGGTGTGAAGGCTGGTCCTGCTCAGGTTGCTGGGGGTTGGTGGAAGTCCTGCAGTGTTCACTCCTGGAATTGCACTCCCCGTCTCCCTGATTTGGAGTGACCTCTGGAGCTGGCTGGTGGTGCTGGTGGCTCTTAAAGGATCAGTGTCCTGCAGGAAGAATGGATTGGGCAGTTTCTAATTTCCCACCTGAGGACAAGACCTAGAGAGGAGCGATCACCCATCCCACCAGGGCTCCTGCCTTTGCAGCTGTTTCATCTTGGGAAGGTTTTACTCCAGTGACAAACTTCAGGCTGAACTTGGCTTCTTCAGAGAGCTCTTTCCACAGAAGAGCCCTCAAATTTCCTCCCAGCAACTTTTCCATCTCTCTCTCCCTTCCCAGACACCCAAGAGCCTGAAGAGAAGCTTTGCAGACTCCCCTGAGCCTGAATTAACACCTCAGCTTTAATGACAAATGGGAGTTTTGCTCGGAGGGGGGCAGGTGGTAGCGCTGGAGGTGGCATTTTGGAGGGTGCATTCCAGAGGTCCCCAGCTGGCAGGAACTCCACGCCTCTTCCTTGTGGATGGAGCAGGGATGGCCATGGGAAGCACTCCCCATGGGGGATGCTGGCAAGGGGAGCACAGGCTGTTCCTTTCACCAATATTCCCATTTTTTCCTGTAGCAGTAGTTATTTAGGGCTAAGCTTTTCTCAGTTGGAATGTCACTTTACAGATTTTTTTAAAAAATAAAATAAAAATAAGGGCAAGGAGTCTGTCCTGAGGAGTTTACAGTCTACAGCAAAGACCATGTAACCTGCACTGCACTTTAGAAGCCTCAAATGCTCACTCACCCCTGGATTTCCCCTCGCCTGGGCAGCAGCACCTCCAGGGCTGGTGTCCCTTCCCGAGGTGACCCCTGAGCAGCACCAGAGCCACGTCCCCGCTGCGACAGCGCCGGGGCCCTCCTGCCCCACTCCCCCACGCAGAAGTGCCTGAGCAAAGCCCAGGAGAGCCAAGCCACGCTGGGTTTGTCCCCAAATGGTCCCTGTGCCCCACACAGCTGTGCTCCCTGGGATGGTGTCCTGCTTTGGAAAGCAAAACCAGCCAGAGGCTCTAAGTCAGAAACACAATTTATTAGGAAAAGGGAACAAAGAAGCAAATACATACAATAGCACAAAAGAAGAACCACTGACAAAGTTAGAGACACAACCTGACACTCACTGGCTGGGGCGGTGGTGGCAGATGTGGCTCTGTCCAAGCAGTGGACCTGTAGATTGATATAATTTCCCTCTGGAGGTCCAGTGCAGAGAAGGTCTCAGCTGTTCCTCTTGGAGGAGGGGATTTATTTGCTGTCTGCACAACCCCGCTGATACCCTTGATGGCATCGTTTGGTTCCTCCCTCTGGGTGGAGCATCTCACAACAGAACGCTGTGATCTTATCAGCCATGTGGCTAAAAGAACAGCTCCTCCTGGAGGGACTTATCTCTGAGATAAGGGGGGAAAAAATGGATTGCAGCTCGAGGTGGTAATGGAATACACCCCAATATTATAACCTGGGACAGATGGCCAGGGAGGGGTGGGAATGGTGCTTGGGAGCAGCAGGGACTGACCCTCAGGGCTGTCACCAGCCCATGAGACACCTCTGGAAAACCTCCTCTTCCAGCCACTTGCAACCCAAGCCCACACTCTGAAGTTGTTCAATCTTTTTGAGAATCAAAGAGGGTTGTTTAGGTTTTTTTTTGGTGTGAATCTGACTTTTCTTGGACAAACCCCAGGGGTTTAGGCTCACTCTTTCCAAGCTCCACCTTCTCTAGGTGAAAAATGTATTTTGCTGGTGAAGGGAATAAAAAACCCCGGAGTTAAGAACTTCAGGGAGGAGGCGTTTGCCCCAAAGCCTTCAGAGCTGTGCCCACAGGCAGGGTGGGACAAGAGGATGTCCCCAAGGGAGGACACCACCCTGGTGGTGTCACCAGAGCCTGCTGCAAGGTTGGGCTCCTGCTGAGGGAAACCCCCAGGCAGGAGCTGCGTGGAGAATGTCCCCTGGAGGCAGAGTTGAGGTGACATTACCCAAACTGGTGTCTGAATTACAGACTGACAGGACCCTGAGGCCACCACAGCACCACTGATGGTTCACCCTCCCAGCAGGGATCTTCCCAGGGGTGCCTCCAACCTCTCACTGCTCCCAGGAGCAGGATTAAAGCTCTTGCTGGTTGTTGTGAGCCCCAGGGGGTGTGGAAGGAGCCTTTCCCCACACACTGGGAACTCCAGGGGAACGGGTTTCAGCCCAGTGGCAATTCCAGCACTCGGTTCTGTGTAAGGTTAAGAGTGCAGGGAGGAGAAAATAAGGCAGAAAGGAACCAGCCCAGCATTTTAGGTTGGTTATGCTCACATCAGCCTGCACAGGGGAAACCTCAGCCAGGTCAGACCCTGTGCAAAGCCACAAAGGGCAGGGAGGGGAATAAAACGTTCTGTGAGGGGAATAAATCTGTTCTGTGAGGGGAATAAAACTGTTCTGTGAGGGGAATAAAACTGTTCTGCAGGTCAGTGTGGGACTGAGCTGTGGCAGGAAGGAGCTGAGTCGGGTCTCAGGGAAAACTTTCTGGAGGTGAGGATGGAGAAACTCAGGTCACAGAAGCTCTGACATGGCTTGGAGAAGCCAGAGAGAAGCTCTGACCTTGTGTGCAGCCAGGGAGTGGTGCAGGTACCCACAGGGCCTTTCTGGCATGTTTGTAATTCTCCCTCATCCCCCCTTGAGGGTCTGTCCAGTGGGTTACAGCCCCAAAGCATCCCCCAGCAGTCAAGGCAGCTGATTCTGCACCCCCTTGGTTTTGGTGTTGATCCTCAAATAGAATAAAGATAAAATGTGCTGCAGAACAAGCACTGAGAGGGAAGGATGTGAACTCACAGCATTTCAATAGTTAAAAAGCAGCAGCTCCTCTAGACCATTCATGATCCACAGACTGTAGTGAGTAAACCATTAAGGTGGACAATTCAACATTTACCCTTTGATTTGGGGTAGCTCACTTGAGAAATCTAAAAATAAAATGTAAAAAACAAAATCTAAAAATAAGCAAACAAAAGAACAACTAACCAAACCCATCCACAAAACAAAAAAGCAAACAAACAACTCACACGTGATTTCCAGAAGGATAAACTGTTCCCTTTCCTTCCCTCAGACCTGGAGGGAAGGTCAGACACAGCAACAGAATGAAGCAGGTGCCACCAGAACCACTTCCAAAAATCCCAGGAAACTGGTGTTTAAGGAAAAGCAAAAATCACATCACCCCAGTGCAGCAAGGAGAGGGTTTCCTGCTACTGAAGGAGGTGCTTTTGTCCCTGGATGCCCCTCCCCAGCTCAAGTGTTTCAAATCCCATTGATTTTCACCTCTCACTGCTGCAGGTGCAGTCCTGGTGCCTCAGCTGGGATTGCTGACTCCATGGAAAATCACTTTTTGCCATGGAAAAACCACAAAAGTCTTGTGTTAAAAAGGGAGAGGACTTGGAGCTGGGAACAATCCTGTGATGCCCATGGAGAGCTGATGATGGTTTCCTCCTGGCAGCAGGAGCAGCTTTGGCAGAGCCCTGCCAGGTCTCCAAAAATCCCAGTCATGAGCATCAACACCCCCCTCACTGCTCCCCCTCCAAATTTAATTTTACACTGAGATGTTTCAGCTCTAGATGTAGTTCTGGCCAGTTTTCCACAAATGCTGCTCTCTCTGGTGTTTTATGTCTCGGGTAAGAGTAGATCAAGTAAAAAAGCAAATCACAGAACCCCAGAACTGTTTGGATTTCCAGTCTGGTTTCCACCCCCTGCCATGGCCAGGGGCACCTTCCATGAGACCAAGTCCTACCCAAGCTGCTCAAATCCCCACAAATTTTAAAAATCTTTTTCTCAAAATGCATTTTCAGGGCCTTTTGGGGCTGATGGCTCCTCACCTGAACAGACTTCCTTATTTTTGGGGCTGCCTGACTTGTTGGGCGGATCTGAAGCAGGGTGTGAGTTTGGGGCGATGCTGAGCTGTGCTGGCACCTTCCTCCCCTCTGCCTCCAGCTGTGCCCTGCCACACGGAGGGTTTGGGTCCAGAATTCCTGCTGGGCACCCCACGGGGCCAGGGCAGCTCCCAATGACACAAGTGCCTTTCCTGGAGGTCCCTCTAGCCCTGCCAGGGAGCTCCTGGGGTGGGTGGTGCTGCTGTGCTGGGGATGGGCAGAGCTCACTGGGCTGGAAACTGGAGCTGCCCAGAGGATCCTCTGGGATCCCTCCTTCCACAGGAGTGTCCCGGGGAGCAGTTTTCACTCGGGTCTTGGCAGCTCCAGGAAACCTTCTGCAGCCACCTGGAGGCACGGGAGCAGTCCCCAGAGGTGTGGGAGGTGTGGGGAGGGGACAAACCCTGTCAGCACTTTGCTGTGGGACATGCACGTGCTGTGGGTTGCTGCTGTCGTGGGGAAGCATTCAGGAGAGCCTTCCTCCTCCTCCTCTTCCTCCTGCTGTCCCAGCCTGGGGCTGCTGGGACAGTGCCAGCTGCTGCAGCAGGACAGGAGACATCTTCCAGCTCCCATCCTCTTCGGAGCCAGCAGGAGCACTGACACCTCTGGGTGAGGGCAGGGGCTGGAGGAGAGCTATTTTGGAGGGAATTGAAGGCAGCTGAGGATCATCAGACCCCCAAACCCCTCTGCACCACCCAAACTCTGAGCTCAGGAGACCTCCTGCAGCACTGGGCACCCATCCTGCCAGAACAGAGCATCCGTGAGCAGCCAGATCCTGATGAGCATTTCAAAAGCACTTTTCTCTCCTTTTGGCACCATCTGATCACACACAGAGCCCAGAGCCAGGCCTTGGGCTGCTCTTTGTGGAGATTGGCCCCAACCCTGAGGGGTGGCACAGAGGGGACAGGGACACCTCGGCATCCCAACGCTCCTGCAAAAGGCTCAGTTTTTAATCCCAGCAGAAGAATTACTCTAGCTCCTTAGATTTGCCACCTGGCAGAAGGAGCTGATGCAGGACAGGCACCTTCCCAAGGGAAGGTGACCCATGCCAGGCCGTGAGAGGGTCCCATTGTTCCAAAGCTGAGTTGAGGAAGGAGATGTTCGCTGTCTGGTGGGGCCTTTAGCCATGTGCACTTAGTCAGTAGGTGAGTAGATGTTGCTGCCCGTATCTATCTCCCCTACCCAGTTGCTACGTGTGAACAAGTGTATTTCTCCCCAGTGTTGTGGGTTCTGCCTGTGGTGACACGAGGATGGAAAGGTAGGGACCACCTCGAGCTTCCTCTGTACAGGGTAGAGAGGAAACCTGGATCGGTCCGAGGCACCGCTTGTAACTACATTTGTTCAAGAAATGTCATCTTAACCCCAACTGTTGACACTTTATGCATGTGCTAATTAAATTTAAAAGAAAAAAGTAAAAGAAGAAAAAAAAAGGAAAATAATTAATAAAGATTTTAAGAGGTTACAGTAGATTTGGGTCTGGCTTTTTGTCGGCTTGTGCTTTGCTGTGAGTTAATCAGCCCTGTGATGTTCCCTCCTCTGTCAGAGGCCGGGGCATGGAAGGAGCAGCAGAAAGCTGTGATCTCTCTAAAACCCTTCACTGGAGAATCAGGCCCTCAAAGATCAGTTAATTCCCCAGGGTATTTACTCCCTGACTGCCTGGCTGATCAGAGGGCAGGGAAAGCTCTGTCTGTGCTTGCAGGCTCTGAGCAGCAGGAGCTGCTCCTTCCCAACTCCTCTGGGTCTCCAGCAGCTCTCGTCCTCATCCAGCTCCTCCTGATCCCAGGGCAAACACAGACCCCGTGTGAGGGAAAGCAGAGCCCTGTTCTGGACTCTGAAATAAAAACACAGACACACAGAGCATGGCACATACCTGGGACAGCAGCCCAGATCTTCAAAGGTTTTAATTTTAACCCCCCTCCCCCAGTTTTTGGATATCCTCTTGACAAATCACTTTAACAGTTTTATTTACAGTAATAAAAATAAATTACTCTTACAGATGAATGTATAATATATTACACAATAGAGATACAGTGCAATAACAGCATTGATTTGTTTTCACTCGGTCATAAAGTGCATCGAAGGGGCTTGATTTGACCATAACTGAATGATAACTGTACATTTGCCTTTGAGATCAACTTTCCCAGTCAAGTTAAAAGGCTGATGACAACACTGACAGCAAAACAAGGCTGTCCTGCTTGCTGTGGGATGGCCTCATTCCTGGGAAATCGGTGGGACGGGAGGCAGGGAGGGGGTGATGGATTCCTGTCCTGCCTGCACAGAGCAGGCTCTGCCTCTGTGGGATATTCCTGCTGGGCTTGGCCACCAGGAGCTCGCCCTGCCTGGGGCTGGGGGATTCCCTGTGCAGGGAGGATGCTCTTTATCCCGGGCTGGTGTGCTCTGCCCTGCTCCCAAGGGACATCAGCCACCACACCAGCCCCGTCCTTGTCCCTGCGCTGCAGAGGAAAGGCAAGGCACAGCCCAGGGCTGCAGCCAGACCCTTCCCAGCTGGAATAAAAGCTTTTCCTGGGACGAGGCAGCTGTTTCCCAGCTCCCAGAGCCTGCAGTAAGGCCATAAACCTGTGCTGTGGTTTCGGTGGCTGTCAGTGCCCTGCCCGCTGCAGCACCCTCAGCAGGGACGGGATCACCTCGGAGCCACTGGGCTGCTCCTGGCACCCAGCAGAATTCCTGAAGGCAACTGGCACCCCTGGAGCTGGAGACAGCCCACTCACACCCCTCCAAATCAGGGACCAAAGAGCTTCACACCACCCCTCTGACTTGGGTGCTCTCTGCCGAAAACTCCATTTTCTCCTGTGATGCTCTGTGCTGCAGTTTTCCAGTGGGAATGGGAGATCTCAGTTCCCGGGGCTGCAGGGACACTGGGGAGGGTGCCCTGGGGGGGATGTTGCAGTGGGCAGCTGCACTGACAACAGAAGAGGAACAAATGGTCCCAGTGGAGCTGCCTCACCTCACCACGAGGGCAGGCTGGGCAGGAACGAGAGGAATTGCAAGGAAATACCGTGTGCATCCAACAATTATTCCTGACAATTAGAAGTGAACTGTTAATTCATCGTTAGCAACAGCGTGAGTCTCAATGCTGGGCAGGACACACCAATACAAGTGAGTACCAATGGGGTTTTAAAAGGTCTCCCCACCCCAAATTTGATGCTTTTACAAGAAAGAGATACTTCATCACCTAAGGAGAACAGTAATGGTTTCTTGGGGGTTCATTCCAGGTTCAATTAAAACTCTTTGATATGAACAGACTGGAGCTGCCACATCAGGACTGAGATCCTTGGAATCTTTACTGCTGGTTACTGACATGAGGCTGGCTAAAGAGAGACATTTTCACTGCTCAAAGTCCCAAACTGACCAAAATGGATAAGGAAAAAAGAAAACAAACCCCAAAATAAAAGTAAGCAGCTTTGTGGTGGAGTCTATATTTGTTTTTTGGTTTTTTTTGGTTTTTTTTTTTGTTTTGTTTTTTTTGTTTTTTTTTTTTAATTTCTAATACTGGGACAGGGACAAGGGCTTGTTGTAAATGCACAAGCTCCCCCCAAGCCTGGCACATCTCCATGACCCTCAGGGCAGCTGTGGTTACATCCCACCCCACAGTGGCCCTGGCCTTGTCACAGTGTATTTGAGGAATGTTTTCTCCTTCTTTCTCCTCCTTGCCCTTTCCTCACCCCCTCAGCTCAACCAGCCAAGCACCAACACCGAAAGCTTTTCACCTCTACATTCTGCTGGCCACCAGCTCGTGGTGGAAAAGCCAAAGGCACCCAGGAACCTGTAAATAAATCAGCAAATTAGCAGTGGATTCATTTCCCTGGCTATGCTGATCCCTGCCATAGGCTCAGGGCTGGTTGGATACCATCTCTAATTACTCAGGACCACTTTTCTGCCCATTTCTGCCTCTGTAGATCCAGACCAGCTCCTGGAGAGTCCAGAAGTGACAAGAGTCTAAGCCCAGCCTGTCACTAGCCTCTCATCCTTTATCAAAAGCTATTTGCAAAGCTCAGAGTTTGGAGATAACAGTGGCGAGATCCTGGCCAGGGTGAGGATGGGGAGTTCTTCCCAACCAAACACTCACCAGCCCTCTCCAGGCAGCTCCAGTTCCCACCTGGAGTCACCACAGGGACTCTGTGGACATCAAAGGACATCTGCAAGTTCCCAACAAGCCAAAGCCCCTGTGCTTTGCAGGACTGTACTGTCCCCTTGTCTCAGCTGAAAAGCACAGCCGTTAAATCAGAGGCTTTTAGAGACCTCCAATTAATAGAGATACAGAATCCCAGGTGGAGGAGGCCTCCCAGTACATCCAACACCAGAAAACATGGAGCACTGGATGTTCTCCAGTTGCTCTGTGCCCTTCTGCTGGTACCCAGGAGGTGGAGAGGGCTGCTGGGCTCTTTTCACTGAGTTTTGGATCCTCAGTGAATGCACAGAGGATCCACCAGCTGGAAACCCCATTTTGCTTTTGGTAATTCCCTCACCATTGGTGCCCCATCCACGTGGGACACTGTTACATTCATGGGAGCTGCTCCCTCTTTTTGGCAACAGAACCTCACCCTAAAGCCCTGCATTCCATCCTAAACATGTCCCAAAGCAGCCCCAAACACTGGGACATTCCCACCTGCACACAGCAACCCTGCCCCAGCACGTGATTCGAGGTGTTAAATTAACTTTCCTGGTGTTCAGCGTGAGGAGGCTCCAAAATCCACCTCTGATGTCCAACATTGCCACTCCAAACTTTCCCGGTGAAAGTTTTTATCTGGAAAACAAAACTAAAACAAAACCAAGGCACTGCAGCACAGGTGCAGTAAAATGGGCAGAGGTTTCCACAAGGCAACGCATGGCAGGTGAACCTAAACCTCTTTATCCTCATCTTCACTTCCCCTCATTTCCCCCCCTTTCCTCTGACAAAACAGGAGAGGAAAAACAGCAAAAAAAAACCACCTGGAAATTGCACTATTTTTATTTGCCATTTTATCAAAATGGCGATTTTGTTAGAGGAGATTTCTTGAGAGTTTTCCTAAAAAAAGTGTTTTTAACAACTTCCATGGGCAGCTCTAACATCTCAGAGAGAGGTGTTAGACCATCACTCAAAAAGAAATGAGATCCTTATTTTACAGTAACTCTGAGCACGGAATAGGCTCGTACCACATCCTGACTGTGAGCTGGGGCAGTGCACCCAGGGACCAGAATTCAGAGTTTGCCTTTGCCAAAGTGGCTGGAAATGAGTTTGGGTGAGTGTCCCAATGAGGACACCCCCACCTGCTCTAAACCCCAGTCTGGCAGGGGCTCTGTCCCCAGCTTTAGCTCCTCACATCCCAAATCTTTCTCCTCTTGCTGTGGAGGGCCACAGGGAGAAATTTTTCATTGATCCTCATTTGACTTTGGTGAAATTTATCAGTGTATCCCTCAAACTGAGATGTATTTTAAGTAAGCAACTAAACTCTAAAAAGGACATTGTTAAAATCAAGCTCTTCAGCAACAGGGAATTTACTGGAAAGCCAAAAAAGGCAACTTTTTTCATGTCAAGGTTTCTCTGGAGCTGATTAGTTAAACTACCTTTCATCTAAAGATACAAAATGAGCTGCCCAGAGAAACAAATCCTGACTTCTAGCTAGGGTGGTTGTATAAAAACATTTCAAATGTTCACAATGTTTCAAAAAGGGTTTACGCTATTGAGTTTTCACACTGAGGAACTGCAGGGACCTGGCTGCACTTGAGAAACCAGAGGAAACAGAATGAGTGAAGTGTTTGTATAAATATTAGTCTTACATATATATTTACTTTAAAACTTACATTGATTCCACATTGTGCCAACTGCCCATTCTCCAAGGTATTCATCAGAGAAAGGAAATGGGAAAAAAACCCAAACCCACAAAACATAAAAACTCCAAGAGTGGCCACCTCTCACAGGTAGACGATAAGTCCAAGCCCCAGGCACACTTGGGAACCTCAGAGCTCTCTCTTGTGCACTGAGCTCCGAGGAGCGAGAGATCCAGGGACAAAACCCACCTGGATCTGTCTGTATCCAGCCATAAAGTGACTTTGTACCCTCTGCAGCCACACAAAGCAAGAACACTTCTTCCACTATCACAGACTCACAGAATGTTACAGGCTGGGAGGGACCTCAAAGCCCATCCAGTGCCACCCCTGCCATGGCAAGGACACCTTTCCTTGGAGTATCCCAGGCTGCTCCAAGCCCTGTCCAGCCTGGCCTTGGGCACTGCCAGGGATCCAGGGACAGCCACAGCTGCTCTGGGCACCTGTGCCAGGGCCTGCCCACCCTGCCATGGAACAATTCCTTCCCAAAATCCCATCCCTCCCTGCCCTCTGGCAGTGGGAAATCATTCCTTGTCCTGTCACTGCACACCCTTGCCCAAGTCCCTCTCCAACATCACAACAATTTCTCTACAGCAAAGCAGAATATTTGGGCACCAGACTCAGCTGCTGGAGGGTCTCCCAAGCCCCCCATGCCAGGAGCAGCACACCCCCTGTGCCCTGAGCCCCCCTGCATGTCCCACCCCCAGCCCTGCCACCCCTCCGGGGGTTGCTTGGGTTCTTCCTTGCTTTATGGGTGAATGCACGATTCCAAAAGAAAGCACAGGATAAAGGACACTTCATCATGGCCTCACGAACACCACAAAGCACATCACACAGCACAGGAATGTCGGGGCTGGCGCTTCTCTAACGAAGCAAGGTAAAGTGGCAGCATCGGCAGTGACACGTGTGGTGACAGAGGCTTCTCTCCCGGGGACTCCAGCAAGCCCGGACCCCTCTTTGGATGAAAACCCCACCCCATGTAAACAACTCGTGTGGAAGGGGGGGAAGCAGCACCCCATTGCCCAGCTGGACAAGGAGAGCCCTTCCTTGGCCTCCCAGACTTTGGGGTGCGGGGCACCCCAGCTGCCCTCACCACCCCCACACCGCCAACCCTGCCCCAGTCACATTTTGGGGGGTGGGGGGGGAAGGAGGGAACGGATTCCCTGGACGCCCCCATCCCTGCCACAGCCCGAACAAGCCACACCTAAAGCGTCTTTCACCCCGCAGGTTCTCCAAGTGCTTCTCGAAGCACAGAGACACGGGACTGTCCCCGCGTCCCTCCTGCCGGAGCTCTCCTCCCCGCAGTGCTGAACGCGCCCCCCCATTATTGCATAGCATCGCAGGCCCTGATTTCATTCAGGGGATGGGCACAGCCACCCCACGCGTGGGGACCAGCCCCGCCGGGGGGGACGCGACATCTCCCTCCCCGCCCCCCCGCTCCTGTGGCCTTCCCATGGGATGTGCCCCGAGGCGTGGGACCACCCGGATGGGGCCCGCTGCTCCCCTGGCTCCTTACCCCGGGAGCAGACAAACGCCATCGTGCGAGGATCCTTTTTCTTTGCTTTTTCTTTTCTTTTTTTTCCTCTTTTTTTTTTTTTTTTTTGGTGTTTTGTGTTTTTAAATAAAAAATAAAATGTGTAAGAAAATAACATTTCTAAAGGAAACCATTATCATTCTACTCTCTCTCTCTCTCTTTCCTTTTCTCTTTTGCCTTTTTTTTTTTTTCCTTCTTTTTGGCCATCTTTCCATGGAACGAGATGTGCTGACCGGGGAGGGGACTCCTCCCGGCAGGAGACAATAACGACAGAGGGGGAAAAGAGAAGGAGCAGGAGAGCCAGGGAGCACCTCTGGCTCCGCGCTCAGTCCTCACACGTCGCTGGATGTCCTTGGTCTGGAGGAGAACGTGGAAGGGATGCACCCGCAGCAGGCCAGCCAGAGCGACTTCTGGATGTCCGGGTTTCTGAAGGCGTAAATGATGGGGTTGATGAGCGAGTTGCAGGTGGCGGGCAGCGCCAGCGAGTAGGTGTACACCGCGGGGTAGCTGGAATCGGCCACCAGGGAGTAGATGGCGAAGGGGATCCAGCACAGGGCGAAGGTGCCGAGGATGAGCGACAGCGTGGAGAGCCCTTTGCGGGTGGAGCTGGCCTGCGCCGTGGCGATGAACTGGTGCTGCACGGCGATCTGCTGGGCGTGCCGGAAGGCGATCTTGCAGATCTGCAGGTACAGCTGCATCATGAGGGCGAAGAGCAGCAGGAAGGTGACGGCCAGCACGGCCGCGTTGTCCTTGGTGACGGGCCGCAGGATGCTGCAGGAGCTCTGGTCCCGCAGGCAGTTCCAGCCCAGGAGGGGCAGCAGCCCCACGCCCAGGCACAGCAGCCACATCAGCAGCACCATGGCGCAGGTGAAGCCCAGCGTGCGCTCGCTGTGGTAGGTGAGCGCGTTGTACAGCGACAGGTAGCGGTCCACGGTGATGGCCAGGAGGCTGCAGACGGAGGCGGAGAAGGCGGCCAGCAGCAGCCCCGCCGCCGCCAGCTCCGCCGCCTCGCTGGGCGGCCGCAGCAGGTAGCGCACGGCGAAGTTGGCCACCAGCCCCAGCCCGGCCAGCAGGTCGGCCAGCGCCAGGCTGCCGATCAGCAGGAACATGGGCGCCCGCAGGCTCGGCGTGTAGAACAGCACGGCCAGCACCAGCGCGTTCTCCCCCGCCACCGCCGTGCCCGTGGCGCACAGCGCGATGTCCCACGGGCTCACGGACCCCGCGGCCGCGGCCCCGCCGCCCGGTGCCGCCGTGCCCGGCCCGGCCGCCGCCGCCGAGGGCCAGGCCGGGGGCTCCGAGGCGTTGCCGAGCCCCGGGAGCCGCTGCTGCTGCGGCTGCGGCGGCCACGGCTCCCCCATGGCGGCGGGGCCGTGCAGCATCGCTGGGGAGAGAGGGAGAAGGGGGCGGTGAGGGACGGAGCCCGAGCCCCCGGAGAGCCGCCCAGCCCCGCGCTCAGCCCGCGCCTCGAACCTCGCCCGGAGCCTCACCGAGCCGGGGGAGAACCTCACCGAACCTCCGGAGCCCCCCGCCCCGGGACACCGCGCCCCGCACCGGGCCGCCCCCGCCCGCCGCATCCCCGCCCCAGCCCGACTGCAGCTTCCCTGGGATGGAGCCCCCCCATCCCCGGCTCGCCCCACACGCACCCTGGCCGCTATCTCCCGCCGGGCTGAGGCCGAGCACAACTCATCACCCCGCTGCCCGCAGCCGCCTCCGTGCGCTCGGCTCCGTGCGGGGTCCGCAGCCACTGCGCACCCGGTGAGGAACCGGCCGCCCCCTCCTCCTCCTCGTCCCCTCCCCGGGGCACGGCCACCTTTGCTACCTATTTATAGCGCAACCCCTCAGCCCCCCCTCCCGCAGCCCTTTCTTTTTTGCGCGCAGTGAGTAAAAATAAACACTATTAATAGGCCAGCGCCTGTATGCGGAGCCGCTGATGGAAGGAGAAGGCAGCGGCAAGAACAGCCTACGTTAAGTTTCTCCTTCCTCCCTGCCTTTCCCTCCTTTGGAAAAGGCTGGTGCAAGATGCTCGCGGCCGGCGGCAGCATCCTGCCCTGCCCGGCGGAGTAAATGCCCCCGGCCAGCCGAGGTGTGAAGGTCGGGGCTGTGCCCGCAGCCCGCTACCGTCCCCCGCCGCCACCATCGCCCCTTCCCGCACGCAGCCGCCACGCCGGGGATCGTTGTTTTACCTGGTTTTAATGCTCGAGGATCAGCTTGCTCCCCCCACCCCGTTTTTATTTTTTTCCTTGCTGGTCCTTCCAGCCCTTGGTGCGAAGCCTCATTCCTCGGCGAGCATCGCTAATAGCGTTGGCAGAGAGCTGGCATCGACTTGCACTTAATATTCCTGCCCCATTGGATCTGCTGATAAATCTCAACTCTGACGTCAAAGTCTTCACTTATATTCATGATCCAAGTCTGTGAATCAGAGCGGCTGTGATCAGAATAACAACGAGGCTGGCTCCCCGCGCCACATCCCCATCACCCCGGGGGGGTGCGCGCCCGCCCCGCCGATCGTTCATTCATCGGCCTCCCGCCGCACCTCGCCAAGGTCGGGCCGCTGCACCTGCGTGCTGCGGATGCAGTTTGGGCACCGGCCAGGCTCGGGCGCCTCGCAGGGTTTATTTTTACCGCTTGTGCCGAGGGACGCGCGGATGCGAAGGGAGGGCGGCGATCCGGCGCGGCTCCGGTGCCGCGCTCCTCAAGGACAATGTCCGGGACAGCGGCACCGGCCCCTGCGCCGGGGACCGGCGGCTGAGGCTGCTCCGGGATCGCTCAGGGGCGGCGGCGTCCCTCCACAGGGGAACACCGCACCCCGGAGCCTCCGCCGCACACGGGCTTCCCTCCAGCCAGCGAAAAGCTGGGATGAGGAGGATCTCACTGGAACCGGGACCTGCCCAAGGACGCTGAGTATGGGGGTCTGTCCCCCTCACCGCAGCACCCACCCATCCCCAGAGCTTCCTCCCCGACTGTTTGGGAAAGGAACAGCCTGGGAAGGAACAAATCCCAAAGACACGGTTATTTTTCCAGCTATAAATGGCTCCGTGATTCATCTTGGGAGCGGAATCGTCAAAGCAGGGATGCTCAGCTCCTGGATCCACAGGATTTCAGCTACACCTTTCTCCCCTTTTTCCTACGGGTTTCATAACACTCCAGCTTCCCTCTTTCATCCCCCTCTCTCTTCCAGGCTGGAGCTTTGCGGCGCAGCCAGCTCAGCGCCGGGAAGCATTTCCAGCTCCTGATGCGCAGAGATATTTAGGTGAACAGCAGCGATTCTGGCTGAAGCCAGCCGCCCCACTTTGGAGCATCTGGGTTTCTAACGAGGCCAAGCCCCATCCCGGGGGATGGCAATCGTCATCTACCTGGGGCCGCCGCCGCGTCACCGAGCCCGTGAGCCGAGCGGCAGAAGGGGCGGAGGAAACCCGAGCGAGGAGCTGAATGAATTCGCTCCCGCTCCCGGGAATTACGCACGGCCCGGGGAAGGGGAGGCGGCTCGGGAGCTCTGCCCGGCGGGGTGCGGGAGCGCTCTGCAAGGGGATGCGCCGGCCGTGCGTGGAGGTCTGTGGGGTCAGAGCCCACCCAGGACGGGCCAGGAGCGCTGCAGGGCTGAGCAGGGATGTCCCCGCTGTCCCCACCCCCAGGTGCGGCCGGCAGCAAGGCTGAGCGAGGACGGGCACGCAGCACCCACCAGCGACCCGCTCTGGGTCAGGGACACGCACACTCCAGAGGGTCCCGGCTGATCCCAAACCCCGTGGGCTCGCTGCAGCTGCCTCGGCCCTCCTGCTCCTGCCCTCTCCCTGAGAGCCCCTCAAACACCCGGCGCTCCCACCGCAGCCCCTCCCTTCCCACCTCCAGGTCCTCCCCTCGACATCCCAGCACAAGTTTGCCACAATCCCGGGATGTTTTCCCCGTGTCCTACAGAAACACCAGTCCCTGGTAGGTGTTCCTCCTGCTGGCTGCAGAAGTGCCCCTTTCCGTACACACATCCCAGTGCATTTCAGCCAGTGCTGGGAGCTGCTTGTCCCTCTGCCCAGGAAAGAGCAGCCCCATGTCTCCAATGAGGTTTTTTGGGGTTTCACCTGTGCAATGGGGTGCAGTGGATTAGCAAAACACCGTCTGGGGTACCCCAAGTATGCTGAGATCTGCTGGTGACAAAAATGACGCTATCTGGCCCCTTTGAAACCGGGGCTTGCTGTCCCCAGAGCAGCCCTGTTGCACATGAGAGGATGGGCCACTGCACACCCTGCTTTCAAGCCTTGACAATCTACTTTTTGAAGTTTTATTTAATGTTCTGAGCTCCCTGAGTAGCTGCAAGACCATTCTGGTAATATTCATATATGAGATATGCTTTATCTGTAGTTAAATTACAGACTCGATAGAGAGGAGCAAGGATCTAAGCAAAGACACAAGCCTGGCACTAATTACAGAGCAAGAGGCCACCAGCCTCACCTGGAAATGCTGTTCAGCACGGAAAAAGTCTCCCACCTTCATTCCCCATCATCCTCCTTGGATTTTGGCCCTTGGGAGAAAGCTCAGTGCTGAGCAAGGCAGCTTTTCCTGTGGCACTGCCCTGTGGGAGTGCTGGGTGCTCCCAGCCCACAGCAGGGCTTGACCTGGGCCTCATCCTCCCTTAGAATTTGTGCTTTTTTCGGTTAAAACAAGTGGGTGGCAAGTTAAAACCGGGGTGGCAGTCACTAATGACGTGGCTGCCACAGGCCCAGCTACTGGGAACCAAAGTTGGAACAAGGGCTGCTGTTTAAGGGCACACTGGTGGTACAGAGCAATGACCACAATTCCAATTCTCCATCATTTTTACCTCCACAGTATTCAAATTGGCTTTTCATCTTTTCTTTAGGAAAACATCATCACCTCCCAGCATCCCAGCAGCTTTTCCCACCCCAGCTCCCACTGCTGTGGGAGCATCCTGTGGCTGAGTGACAAATCCACGAGCTCACTGCCTTGTGACCCCTGAGCCAGGCCCAAATCCACGCTGCTGGAACATTCCCCCACATTTTATTTATCCCGGCGCCTTTTCCACAGCGAGCGGATCCAGCCTCATTCCAGCACCTCCCTTGTTCCCTGTTACTCCAACGGTGCTTGAGGAGCTCGAAGCGGGAAAAGCACAGCTATAATTAGCAGTGCTGACTAATCAGGGTGGCAAACGAGCTCTCGGAGCGCGCCAGCCTCCCCAAAACGGGGCCGTCGGGGGCTGCGGGGCTGGGAGCGCGTGAAGCCCTACATTCAAAGGCTTTGCATAATTCTTGGTGGAAATGAGGCCATTTTCTCACTGCTGCCACTGGAAAGATGGGAATTCTCCTAGAGCTGCTCCAGCTGCAGCATCCCAGCCTGGTGGGAAGAACCAGGGCTCCGTGGTGGGTTGGGGTGGTTGAGGTGCGGATGCCAAAGTCAAGAGGAGGAGTTGGAGGGTGGCAGGCAGGAGTGTGGCTGATAAAATCATCCACCTCTGTGGAAAAGCAGCTGATTTGCCTGAAAAGCCTCTCTGCAGGTGGCTGGAGTGGGCCCCTTCCAGGTTTTGGCTTGCAAGGGTGACCTCTGCTGTCCCCCTGCAGCAGCACTGCTGCAGCCCTGACTGCAGCTCCTGGAGAGCCCCGGGCGGATGGATCCTTGGCTCTGCCAGCAGCAGGAACAGCTCCCTGCCCCCAGGTGAGCTCTCTCGGGGCTGTGCAGCCTGGCGACAGTGGGGACACCGTGTCCCAGTGCCCTCTTGCTGTTACAATGTTCCCCATTTAGGGGGACAGTGCCCGGCTGTGCCAGGAGGGAAGGAGCGATTCCAGGGCTCACTCCGACTTCTCCTGGTTCCCACCAAACAAACACCCAGGCCAAGCAGAGAGGATTTCTGCTCCTTCCATCAGTGATATCATCCCCACACAATGGTTTTGTTCCAAGTCCTTTCCTGAGCCAGAGGGACACAATTTGGAGCACCTTTGCTGGCACATGCCGTGTCACCATATGTCACTGAGCAGGGCTTCTGGGAAAAGGTTATTTTTCCCCAAAACAAAGCTCTTTGCATGGTGTTTTACTCCTTCTCCAAGGCTGTATGTGCTGCTCTGGCTGGGTGCCTTATCAGGAGTGACTGTTTCCCTAAACTGCCATTCAGCCATAGGGAACACTGGGAACAGACACAATATTCGGCAAAATATTCAGCAAAATATGAGTGTAATAATTAATAATTATTTATTAATTTACCTGACATGGCATGGAGGTAAGGAAGGTTTTCTAGGGGTTTGGATGGGGAAAACCAGGAAAGATCCATTAAAAAAATTCGAAAACCTGGAGGTTTTTGCATCCAAGTGCTGGGCAGTTGTTCTTCCCTGCTGTGCCCCTGCCACCTGCTGCCACCAATGTGAGTTTTCCAAAACCAAGCTTGGAGTGAGCAGCTCCAGAGCACCAAACCTGGAGTGACAGCAGCGAAGCAGCTCTGAGCAGCAGGATGGTCCTGGCTCTGTGTGGAAAAGCCCTTGGCTGCCCCGAGCCAAGGACACAGCAGCACCAACAGGAATCCCCAGGCACTGAGTGTGGAATGCATGCAGGGATGGATTTGCTGCTCCATTCAATCCCTGAACCCCCTGATGATCCCTCCTGGGGGATTGGCACAGGGGAACACGAGGCAGCCCACTCCCCTGGGGGAAAACCCCCTGTGGTGGCACTGGAAGCACCTCCAGCCTCCCCAGCTCCCTTCTCGCTTGGCAGGAAGGACATTGGCTTCCCAGAACTCCTGGGGAACAAATTCCCAGCTTTGAAGTGGAGCACAAGCAGCTCGACACCCCCACACTGGTCCTCTCTATTTATTGGTTTTAACTCAGGCTTCTGGGATTTAAAGAGGGTCCTGTGTGGGGTCACAGCACTGGGCTCCCCTCCTGAGCACGGGCACATTCCTGGGAATTAGGCTGGGGAACCACAATGCCTGGATCCAGAGCCCTGCTCTCCAAGATTGGGTGGGTTAGGACATCACCCAGAAAAGGCCACAGCTGCTGGCTGGGAGTGTAATCATTTGTATAAAGCAAGTGCTTGGCTTGGAATAAATCTGTTTACTTAAAGAGAGCCATGAGTGGGGCTTGCCAGCAACCAAACCTCAGCCTGAGCCATACCCACCTGGATTTTGTGGGGGAGGAAGTGTTTTTCCCTCTCTGGGCATTGCAATTTCTCCTTCAGCACCGCTGTCCAGAGCTGTCTCAGCACTCGGGGATCCCCCCAGGACAAAAGAGTCGGGCTGGGAGGTTCTCTGGTCCCACAGGAATTCCCTCTGCCCTGGGGGTTTCACCCAGAGCTGTGCTGGGCCTCTCTCCCTGGCTTGGCTGAGAAACATCCTCCCCCCAGACCCCCACGGATGAATTCATGGTAAAAAGGCACCTGGAGGAGGGAATGGGAAAAGCAGCAACAGGGAAAACCCTCCAAATTCTTTAAAACTGCTGAATTGGAAGGGTTTGGGGGAGATGAAAGCAGCAGGATGGATGGGGAGGATGAGACCCAGAACTGCACCTTCCCACCCGATTTTGAGCTGTTTCCCTGGGGTTTTTCTGATTTTTTTTTTCCTCCTGAAAGGTCAGCTCTCTTGTCAGAGCTGGAAGTCACAAGCACCATCCCTGACACGAGTGTAATCGTGTTTGATGAGTCACTTGTTTAACGGGAAGAGGCTGCTGGTTGCTATAGGGATGGCAGCAGAGGGGAGAGGATCCCTCCCTTACCCTGATCAAACAGAAAAACGCAACAATTCCAGGCCAAAGTCCCCTTTGCTGTAAGTTTTTGGCACAGTTTGGTACCCTGGCTACAGGGATGGCCAGGCAGGTCCCTGAGCACGGGACATGCTGGAGTTTGGGGACACCACAGGGCTGGGCAGAGATGAGGGAAGGGTCTGGATGAGCGCTGGGGACTGGGAGCTTTGGGGTGACAGAAGGAGAGGTGGCAGAAGGAGACCCTGCCGAGCTCCCCACCCCTCCTCAGGGCTTTTCCCTCTATCCAAGGGAGTCACAGCACTCCCGGGAGTGCCTGATCCCTGTGCAAGGAGCTGCTGCCCTGCTTGGAAAGGTGAGATCTGCACGGCCTGGGGGAGCTGTGCCTGCTCTCACCTTGGGAAATGCGGCCACCGGGTCACCGAGGACACTCGCCAATGTCACCGTGACCCATCTCCTCCCTTCATCCCCCGGGTTTCAGCACCCCCAGCCCGCAGCCAGGCTCCTCCCAGGGCTGCTCTGCCCCTCCCTGCACCCCTCTTTTCCCCTTCCCCTCTCCCGGGCCGGGCTGGGGGTTCATCCCCACATTCAGACCCGGAGGAGGC